AGTCAGTCATGGCGGCTTTTACTATCTGTATGCCGTCGACATCACGTAACCTCGGGAGACATAGCTGTGCAGTATCTCCAGCTGATGGTGTAACTAAAAACACGCTCTAGGAACAGCAAGAAGGCCACAATGGCTGAAGAAGGAGAGAGAGGGAGAGTAGTCAGAGGTGAGGTCAGAGGGTAAGGGGCACAGGTCCCGTCTACATTACAAGCACTTCGGCTTTTCCTCTGAGTAAAATCGGGGGCCACTGCAGAGTTTTGGGCAGGAGTAGCTTACTCTGATTCACATTTTAGAAGGATCATTGTGTCTGCTAGATTGAGAATAAAATGAAGGGGCCCATGGATGGAAATAGTCCAGTTAGGTGACTGGAAAAATCCAGGCAAGAGCTGAGGTGGCAAGAGATGGCTGGGTTCTGGTTACGTTTTGAGGACAGGGGCAACAGGATTTTCTGAGAGATTGGATACAGGATGTGAAAGAAAAGGAAGCTAAAGATGACTCCAAGGGTTTTGCTCAGGGCAACTGAGAGCACGGAATTAGCATTGGCGGGTGACCTTCTCTCTGGGTCTGGGGCCAGGGAGGTGAGTAGGAAGGGCATGTGCCTCCCCTCAGGGCTCTTGCACTCTGGGGCAGGGGTGGAGAGGGGGCAGTCAGGCATCCAAATAGGCCATTACAACATGAGGCTATAGAGGCACAAGGGAGGGGTGCAGAAAGGGAGTGCCAAGGACAGCTCTCAAGGTGGTGATGAGTGAGCAGAGTCGCCAAGAACGGGTGGAACTTCTCCAGCCAACAAAGAGGAGGCCTTGGGGCCGGCCCCGTGGCTTAGTGGTTAAGTGCGCGCGCTCTGCTGCTGGCGGCCCGGGTTCGGATCCCGGGCGCGCACCGACGCACCGCTTCTCTGGCAATGCTGAGGCCGCGTCCCACACACAGCAACTAGAAGGACGTGCAACTATGACATACGACTAATCTACTGGGGTTTTAGGGGAAAAAAATAACTAAATAAAAATTAAAAAAAACAAAAACAAAAAAGAGGAGGCCTTGAGGAAACAGGAAAGAGGAGGGCAGAAACAAAGGAGTTATGAAGGGCAGGACTTGTGTGCTCGGCGACTTGCAAACAGGCTCCTACAGGGGAAATGCTCTCAGGAAATGCTGAGGGGCACCGTGGACCCATGGGTCAGTCAGCATGAGCCACTTGTGGTCTATCCTGACACACTCTGATCCACAGTTGAGAGAGCCCGTGAGTGGAAATGGCTCCGAGGTGGCTGAGCTACAGGCAGGAATGGAAGCTATGCCAACAGCGGAGACAAAGAGAATGAGAGGGAAATGGGGGAAGACATACCAGGCCCGAAGGTCTCACTGGATGTTGGGGATGAGAGAGAGGGCAGAGTCAAAGTGACCCCCGTTTCTGGCTTGGGTACCGTTCACAGTAGGAACCATGCAAGGACACGCCCAATTGAGAAGGAAGAGGAGTCTAGTTTGGGATGTGTTAAGTCGAAGTGCCTGGCGGAGAATGTCCAGGAAGGGGTTGGATCTAGAGCTTAAGGGAGAGTTCTAGATAGGAGGAAGAAACATGGGAGTTGCCCACAGGAGTGTTCAAGTGATTAGAATCGGAGGATGGAGAAGAGACCATAGACTGGCCCCTGGAACAGTAACACTTCCGGCGCAGGTGTGGGGTCAGAAAAGGGACGGCCAGAGGTAGAAGAATCAGACAGTGCTGCCTGGTAAAGATTTCTCTGACCCACTTTCCCTTTCCAGTTTCCCCAAAGCCCTGATTTCCCCAAAGCCCTGGAGCTGGGTGGCTGAGGGAAGACTTTCGTCCCGGGACCCTAATGACGGTTCGCCAGTGGACGTGTGAAATTAGATGATTCAATCCAAGTGAAACTCAGGACTTCCACTGGGAATCCTGTGCCTAGGTTTTTTTTTTCCCTTCTAGACTTGAACCAGGAGATTCACAGTTTTAGGAACTGCTGGCAATCATCTTGAGACCACACAAGGAGAGCGAACCTAGGATGAAGCCCCCAGAGGAGGAAAGAAATTAGGTTGCTGGTGACATCAGGCTCCAGGATCAAGCTTTGCCACCATTTGACCTCTCGGTTATGAAAGCAATACATTTTCTTTATTGGTTAAGCAGCTTAAAGACTTTCTGATACTTGCAACCAAAACCTTCTAGCTGCTACACCCATCGTGAAAGCCAAAGTAATTTTTTTATTTTTGGTGAGGAAGATCAGCCCTGAGCTAACATCTGCCAATCCTCCTCTTTTTCTGCTGAGGAAGACTGGCCCTGGGCTAACATCCGTGCCCATCTTCCTCCACTTTATATGGGACGCCGCCACAGCACGGCTTGACAAGCGGTGTGTCAGTGTGCGTCCGGGATCTGAACCAGCGAACCCCGGGTCGCCGCAGCGGAGCGCGCGCACTTAAACCGCTTGCGCCACCGGGCCAGCCCCGAAAGCCAAAGTAATTTAAAAGGTTGTCTTTAATGTCAAATGCCGCAGAGATAAAAGATAAGCAATTAGGTCATGGGTAACCTCGGAAAGAGCATTTTCAGTGGAAACAGCAGGTGATAGTGGGGAGCGATGGAGGTTTGCAGTCAGACGTACTTCTCTCTTCCTAGCAGTGTGATCTCCTGAACGTGAGTCTCCTGTGAAATGGGCGGTATCCCCCCTTTCATTTGATCTTGGGAGGATTAAAGAGACTGTCAAGTGTCTGGTACAGAGTTCAGTAAATGGCATGGCAGGGATAGAAGTCAGATTGCACTGGACTGAAGTGCATAAGCAGTAAGAAAGTGGGACAGCAAGCAGATTATTCTTTTAAGGATATAAATATACAATTCACAGAAAATGAAGTACAAATGGCCACAGCCACTGAACATGAAGTTATGCTTAACTTCACTCAGAGAAGTGCAAATCAAAGCAGTAAGATACTGGGAAAAACTCATACTCAGTGGGTAGGAACGTAAATCAGTTTGTCTTGGAAGGGAATTTGGCAGTATCTACAAAATATTTACTGAACATATTCTTTGACTTAGCATTCTTCTGCTAAGAACTCATCCTACAATTTTACTTTACAAGTATGTAAGGGCAGACATGCTGGCATGTTTTCTGCAGCAACGTTTGTAATGACCAAAATTTAGCCTAAACGTCCATCAGTGGGCACTGATTAGACGATATCTATACAATGGAATACAATACAATCATTAAAAAGAACACATGTCTAAGGGATAGTCATAAATGAAAACAAAAAACACTATGACCCTATTTGCAAAACAGCATGAATAGTATGCTTGAGTTTGCATGAAGGATTCTTGTGTAGCCCTGGAGAAATTATCAATGGTTATCTCTTGGGAGTGGGAGTGGGGAGGCAGGAAATTTATTCCTCTGAGAAATCTTCTCGTGGAGCTCTTTCATTCATTCTAATGGCTTATGTTTTTTTCTTAGCATTTAACATTTATAATAAAATAAATAAAATTTGGCTAAAAGATTTAAAGGAGGTGATGGCTAAAGGAGTTCAGGACCAAGGGTGTGCGTGTGTGTAAGAGCCTTGAACAGAGAAGAAACAATCTGTGCCCCTAGTGTTGTTATTCCACACCTGCTGGGACAGCCCTTGGGCCTGGGCACTGGGGGAGGCAGGAGGCAGGAGCACAAGGCCTGACGACACCACTTACTGATGAGGTGGCCTGTATCTGCTATATATTGACCACTATTTGCAGGTGAAATGCAGATATTGCTAATATTGGATGACACTGATACAATGCTTCCTTCATAAGGGTAAACAGAGGAATGGAAGTCACACATGTCCCTGCACTTTGCACAGTCCTACCCCGGTAAGGTCCAGCCTGCCTCCACTTGCAGGTCCCACATTCGCCTTCTTCCAGGACTCCCCCATGAGGTTTTGTCAGCCTCTTGAAACCACATTTTCTTGAGCACTGTCTTAGGGACTTCTGCTGCCAAGTTACATAGATGATTTCTACTCTGCGGCCTGCTGGTCCAGGTCCAGCCCAGACTAGTTTCTGAGCTTCTAACTTCTAAACAATCTGCCGGCTGATGTCTTGCAAGTGACTAGGCTACTCAAGGGCACCGACTAGTCTCTTAATCATTTCAACATCGTTTACTGAGCTTCTACTATATAACTGGCACTGGGCTGGGAGCCAGAGGTCCAAGGAGATGAGAGGTTTTGATCACAATGCAGAGCAGTGAGTCTATGGGAGGGAACCTGGAGTAATCCACTGGTGAGCTCAGGGAAGCCCCTCGCCTCCAGGGGAAAGCCAAGTTTCAAGGAAGAAGTAAGAGCTAAGTAACAAAGGGAGAAAGAAATGCAGCAGAATGTGGGAAGGCAGGGAGTGTACGGGAAGCCAAGGAGCTCCCCGGAACCTTGGTGAAGGTGGACCCCAGGACAGGCTCCTGTGGAGAGGATGTGTGGGCCCCACCCCACAGGCTCCCCGTGCTGAGCTGGGCTCTGGAACCGCTGAGTGACCAGGAGCCTAGTCTGCCCCTAAGGATTCTTGACTTGTGTCCCAAGGATTAGAATGAAAAATGCACAGATGTCACAGGAAATCGATCAGGGAGTTTACGTCATTAATTGCATCACGTGTTCATTAGAAGTATATTTCAGTGTCTATCACAGCTAGGCCCTGGATTACCTGAATATGCTCACGACAGCTGTTTGATTTAGAAATTCTGATGAACTGAAACATTATTATTGGTAGATTTTCTGTTAAGCTTTTAAAAACTAAAAACACTAAGATTTTAGGTCTGAAAGCATTTACCTTCAGCTTTAGTGGTTAAATTTTGGTAATAGTTGAAAAATTATTCAGGGCTCCCTTACTGAACAATTACAGTGGACACCTGTAAGGAAAAATGACGCTGAAGAGACCTGAGTACACATGCTGGGAAATCGGGACAGACACTAGCTCGCGATCTTCAACTCCACTATTTTAAGATCTCAATTTTGCTTTACTGACTAATGAAAAGACCAAGTCAAACTGAATAATAAGAAATGACATGTTACGAAATAGACATATAAAATTTAATCCTTTTGGTTTAAAATACATCTTCAATGATACAACTAAAAACAAGACAAAATCAATTTCATAAAACAAAATATAAAATATTGTTATTATTACCCATTCCCATGATATTCTTATCTTAGAAAACCAGCAATTTATTTCACATACTTCATTAGAGTATTTTAACATAAGAATGTAACTACCAATCCTACTTGTACCAATGACCTACTCTAGCTCCCTGAACCTAAAGATACCCGTGATTTTATTTGTTATAAAATTACACTTTTTAGTATTTTTATATATTTAAATATGTATACAAAATGTTCCCCTGCCATAGTAATATAGTCTCATAAATTCATGAATGCTTTCTAGAACTGTTAACATACAATATAATCAAAGCTTGAAGGCTCTGAAACATGGTAAAATAGAATAATTTCTTGTAACAGGAAGATTAGGAAGAGCTCTACTTTGAACTGTGTCACCTGATACAAATAGTCACAATGTGTGTTGTAATTACTGTGTTTGTTCACTCCATTAGGAACATCTGACACTAGCATACACAACAGACATGAGTTGCAGTAGTGTTTTCCCTTGACTTCATTTGTTAAACAGTGCAGAAGTCTAAATAATGACATTCTCAAGAGCAAAGAGAGTCTCCGTACTTTGAGAAGGTTTGCTATGCTATGGAATGATGGCTGTGTTTGGGAAAACAGAGAGCGTTTCAGTGGCTCCACTAAGCACAGTCCTCTACCTACTTGGGAGATGTTATCAAAAATAATTTAACCTCTCATCTAGGGAAAGTCTTTAACGTAGACCTTATCGCATCTCTTTACTATATGTACACAGACACCATATTTATATATTATCTATTTATATAAGACATATATGTACACATTTACAGACACAGGCCTTCAAAATGTATTGCACTTATATACAATGCAGCTTTAGCTTAACTGATTCATACTGTAACCCATGTAAGTTCTTCACAAGAAAGGCAGTCGCTATGTTCAAGAAAGTTGCGGAGGAAGATGTCAGTAACATGCCCTATTTGAGTAAACACTTACAGGGGGATGAGAGGCTGAGGGAGAAGGGCTCCTCCTTCCTCCTTGGATGCCGCTCCCACTGACCTGAGGCAGTCAGAGTCTCACTGAGTTCAGACAAGGGCACAAGGTCCTTAAAGCCAAGCCCACTGCTCCTTCTGACTTGCACTAGTGAGCCGGCCCACCAACATTGAAGAGACAAGGCAGACATCCCAATATTTTTATAAATAATGTAGCAGATATCCTAAAGGTCCCCAGAGAGTCTATTAAATCTTGGAACAAAGTTTTCACTTTTAATCCTAAGTATTTATATCAGAAATTTCAAACATAATGGTATATGAATTTCTCTGTCATCTGAAAAATGCCAATGCGACATACTCAATGCTATCTCCTCGCCAAATGCAGTGCCACCTCCAGCTCGAAAGGAATCCCTCCCACTGACATCCACCATGTTTGGAAAGCGGCTGGCTGGTGCACCCACAGCTTGCCCAACAAAAAGACCCACATAACGCCTTCCTTTCACGCGCTGGGACTCGTGGCCCAGGACCCTCAGATCTCAGTGAGGGTGAGCTTGTACGACGCCCCTGCTTCCTCAATCTGCAGCTGGAAGGTGTCTTCATTGGAGTAATGCTTCACAATGTTGTCATCCATGTTCACCAGAATCCTGGGTGAGGAGAGGCAAGACAGAGCCGCTCATTCCTACCTGCTCTGCAGTCAGACCCAGATCTCACAACTAGCGCCACTTACTAGCTGTGACACGTGAGGCACACTACTTAAACCTCCCTAAGCCACGACTTCCTCACCAATGAAATGAGGATAAGAATAGTGCTTGTCTTGTAAGATTGTTGTGGGCTTCATGAGGGATGCGAGTAAAGCACTGACAACAGTGCAGGGCCTGTCACACCAAAACACAGCCTATTTACGTTGTTATGTCAGTACTCACTCGATGAACGAGTAAGTCGACAGAAGGCACACCTACTTGGTCCAGCTTTAGAAAGTGTATCAGTAAAACAATCCACATGATCTGAAGCCACAGCTTCCTGACAAATTATCTGCCCTGGCAAGTTACCCTCAAAGTTTAGTTCAACTAGTTGAACTAAGTTGAACCCTCCCCACTAGGCCCATCTAGAAAATTCCAATTAGGATTTGCGTTAGAATTAAGCCAAAAAATTCTTATGTTATACCCTGCTCACTCATGTCAAACAGCATAGACACTTAAGTAAAAGAGAACTAAAAATACTAATTTCTAGACAAAGAAGCAATGTTCTATGATTGAAAACACAATCCAGGGCAGGCAGCCGGAGTGGAAGGAGCAAAGTCTCTGCAGCTGGTCGAGACTGAACTTGAATCCTGGCCTTGGCACTAACCTGCTACCTGATCTTGGACAAGACTCGCAGGCTCTCTGTGCCTCGGCCACCTCATCTACAAAGTAGCAAGAGTGACACCCATCTCAGAGGGTAACGTGGGAACTAAACAACGGTGAAGTGCCCGACCCAGTTCTGGACCCATGACGGGGGCACAATAAAGGGGCAGTGACGTAGTCATCCTTAGTAAACGTCACAGCGCACTCTGCAATGTGGAGCCAATTCACTGCTGCCAAGAATGAGAAGAGCAAATAAAAATCTTACTTGACAAAAACCCACAAGATGTCTTCAAAAAGTAGATCAATTTTATGTGGCTAATTTAAGAAAAAATACATTCTAGCACTAATGTTTCTGTAACTGTTTCTGGACTGGGCACAAATGCATGTGAATAATATTAATGTTATATAGTGTTAATGTTATTTAGAGGCACCAAGAACACCAGTCAATACTCACCCTTTTTTACATTTCTTGAATATTTTTCCAATCTTGTCATGGGGAACATCGTATTTATCTGAGATCTAAAAGAGCAAAGAAAAATAATTACAAAATGCTGTTTTCATGGCTTTAACAGACAAACAATATATGTTAATATAGTGGTATAGTCACTTTGTTTTTCAAAAATGCATCTGCAAAGACAGACATGAGACCCAGTCCATACTCTGGGGAGGGGGTGTCTCCTACCTTTAGAGGGAGCTGGAATCAGGTGCTTGTTATTTCCTCCTAGTTTACAGATGTCCGTAAGAGCATTATATGGTCATAGTTTTTTAAATTAATACTTTATAGAGCAGTTTTAAGTTTTAGAAAAACGGAGCAGAAAGTACAGTTGCTCCTCCCCCACCACACACAGTCCCCCACCGTTAACATCTCGCACTAGTGTGGTGCGTCTGTTACATGCGATGAGCCAACGCTGCTGCAACACGGTGACCTGAAGTCCACAGTTGACACTGGGCTCACTCTATGAGGTGCCCACTCTGTGAGTCTTGGCAAACCCACAGCGATACGTATGCATAGTCACAGGTATCTGATCAAGCACGTGATGGCCCTGCTCTGGAGTCAGACACACCCAAACCAAAGCAGTTCTGATTCGCTTTCCACCAGGAGGTGACCTTTCTGACCCTCAGCCTCCCCTCATCAGTAAAGTGAGACTCTCACCTCACACACCACAGGACTGCTGTGAGCACTAAAGCGTGTCCTAAACTAAAGCAGGAGTTCATTTCAGATACAGAATTATGGGAAGGAAAGAAACATTAAATATCCCCTAGTCCAGGAGAAACATCCAAGTCTCTGATCACAAACCGAGAACCGCACCTCTGCCAGTTCTACCCAGAGCCTCTCCGGAGAGCACAAAGGCTCCGCCGACCGTGGCTACAGCCACGGGGTGTGGCCCTCAGCCCCAGCCCCCCAGCCCCTTTCTATGATCAATGAGCGGTCCACACGGTGCAGTGAAATCAGCGTGGCGTAAACTCTGGATGCTTTCCTTTCAGGGTGCAGAGGCCATCTGAGAGGATGAGAAACTCCAAGGACCAGCAGCTGATTCAGTCCAGATCAAACGCTTTATTTGCAATTGTTGCCCAGACGACACCCACACTGGGGTTACCACCTCCTCTACCTGAGGAGCAAAGCTCGAGGCAGCACCGAGAAACGGGGCCTCAGAAGACCAACCTTCAGATGGCTCTCAATCTAACAAAAACACACATTTCAAACCAAATCCAAGCTCCCATCATACAAACAAGTCCATTTCTTTTCTGTATCACTGGATAATAATACTTTGTATATTTTTGAAATCCCAGCCCCAAGAGATCTAAGACACTGTAATGAATTCCTTATGAGCTGTGAACAAGTTATATTTGGCACAGTGAGTCTCAATCTTTTTCACACTCTCTTCTCTCTCCATAATCAAGGGTCTGCATGATTCTTAAGAAATGAGGAAGGGTTGTCAGAACACAGGTAAGAAAGAGGAACCCAGGAGAAATCACAGGAAGCTGAAAAACAACAGAAAGAGGTGCTAATGGTGGTGTTGGCCGTGGTGCAGGGGGAGGGACCGTGCTAAGAGATGCCTGTGAACTTGGAGCTGCCTTGAGAGCCTCAGCAATGCCCCGAGTCTACTGTCTCCTCCCCGGCTTTATTTTTCTTCACTGCATTTATCAGCACGTGGCAAATTACATACTAGTTTCTTTGCTTATTTTATTGTCTCTACCTTCCTAATGAGAACCTAAACTCCATTTGGCACTGTGTCACTTACTCTTGTAACTCTAGTGCCTAGAACAGCTCTTGGCACAAGGCAGGCCCTTAACAAATAATTTGTTAAATGAATTCAACACATGCAGCTATTGGGGGGAGCCAGGAGAAACATATTTCTAGCCCAATTATGCACACGCTTAGAGCTCAAAGAGTCCTATGATTTTTAGGGGGCCAAGCTTGATAAATATCAAGATACAGCACTGATTCCTTGAATTCTAGCCCGGAGCAAAGCCAAAATGGGGAATCAGCATGGCATCCTCATGCCATCTCTCATTGATGTCCCAAAGGGGAGGCTGGGGTCAGTCTGCTTGTTGGCCTTGGCTGAGATCCTGTAGGAAGGATTTATGGTCAATCACTGGTCACACCTCTAAATTTTCTGAAATATGCTTTGGGTAAGGTCTTGACACAAGTTCAGTCATCCCCCAGGATCAGTAGTTTTAAAGGCAGACCGAGGAGCCACTGCTTTCATGCATGAAGTTTTTAATAATTTTTGTTAGCTTCTAAACGGCTTGTTAAATGGCATCTCTCTTTAACCAAGCATGTAGAAGTTAAACTATTTCACAGGTCATCACAAATTCACTGAATTCAGCGGACTAGACATTCCTGAGTGACTACAACCTACCCACCAGTGTGCTGGGCGCAGTGGCGTGAGACTGAGTGGAGACGGCCCTGCAAACAGCTGAGGACCCCAGGAGGCAGCAGCAAATGTAGGCTGTGCCACAGGCTCAGACACAGTGCTGGGGCTCAGGAAAGGCTTCAGGGATTTTAGCACAAAGGAATCTGGAGGGTCTGGTAAAATTTGTGCCAATGGAATTCTATGTAAGTTTGTTTTCACTTTTTAAAGAAGATTACAAAGCTCATGCTACTTACAGCTTCCATCAAGCCTTTCAAAGATGGAGTCTTGAGCATCAGGGCATCAAAGACTTCTTCCGACTCCTTCCGCACATAGAGCAGCACTAATCCCCAATCAGGAATAAGGAGGTGAAAAAGGAAAAAAAGGATGCAATTCATTCATATGAGCAAAATAAGAAAACAGATCCAGGTACTGGTTAATATAAGAGACATCCACATCAAGGACAGCGAACATGAACCAACACTAAATCCGCCTCGAGGAACACAGCTTTTGGCTTCTTTTAACTCTGTGTACGTCCAGGCTCCAACCAGGAGTTGGTCTGATGGAAGAATACTCAAGGAAGTCAAACTGGACAAGATTTGTCTGAGCAATTGATGCTTTTGACAGATTCAGAACTCACTTCTAATTTAAAACTCCACTAAGAAATGTAACCAACACACCTCGCGTTGGTTCTTCTACCCGGGTCAGCTTAGCGGGAGGTGGAATCGCAAAATCATCTTCCGAGCCGTACGGCCCCCTTTTCAGGTTAGATCTGTGGGCAATCAAAAGCACGCCATTAGTGTCTTCAACCTTAATCACTTGCAGAAACAGAAAGAGTTTTAGGGCATATCACCGAATTACAGATTTGAAATGACCTTCATTCTTTATCTGGTCCAGCTTCCTTATTTTGTGGATGAAAATATGAGGCCCAAGGAAAGATACTGAGTCAGGGCTCGTGCTATTTCACGGCAGAGCTGGGGCTACACTCAGGCCACCTGCCAGACACCCTCCATCGCTCTTACACTAGATCAAGCTGCCTTTCAGGAAACACTTGATGGAGGAGATAGGATCTGACATATATGTGAAGGTGGTAACAGAGGAGAGGGCATGTCAAAAAGGGAGACAGTCTGGGCAGGAAAATGCAAAGCCAGCCTGGCTGCAGCAGAATGTTCCACAGGAAGATAAATCTAGAAGAGCAGGTTGGGCTTTACTATGGAATATCTTGATCATTCCATTCCAAGAAATTTTAGATTTTATGTGGCAGCTATTAGGGAATCTTTGAAAGTTTTTGAGATGAGAATGCTGTAATCCAAGCGTATGGCAGAGACTGGAGGGGACTCACGACCCACAAGCAGAAGAACCAGTTGGAGGACTTTGGGCAGAATCACAGCATATTAAAGGGTTAATACGTACTTAATCCTTTCAAATGTACAGTAGCGTTGGTGGAAATAAAAAGGAGAAAATGGATACAGGCGTGTTTGAAGAAAGACCTGAAAAGATGAGAGTGACTGGCTGTCAGAGGCACAAGTTATGGGGTGTTACACGTGATGAGGTTCAGGTGGGTGAGCAAGCAAACAGTAAAATAGCTGAAGATGAACGAGCGGGTGCTTGGTTTTGAGCAGAATGATCACCTCAAGAAGGGCTGGGCCTTAAAATGCTCAGTCTGTCTCAGCTCCTAGCACAGGCCAGGCCTCCAGTGAAAGCCCCTGTAGGATATGTCTGAGCACACGAAGGGTTAGAGGCAGTGGAGGACTGGCCTTCAGAGAGGAGGCCCTGCAGGCAACATGGTGGGAACGGGGAGCTATGACGGCCCAAATAAGGGGCCTGCTGCTCAATGTGGTAGAGCGCTGAGCAGGAGGGCTGCCAGTGTGGGCAGTTAGGGCCCACGCAGGGGGAGCAGCACCACCTCAGTGAGCATATGAGCAGTGAGCACACCCAGGGGCCTCATCTGGATTCCAAAACACATTCTCCACCACAAGGAACCAGGGCTTCCTGGAGAAGGGGCTGATTCTAGGGCTGGAGGAGGGAAAACACAAGTGCCTGGAACACATTGTGCCTGAAGGTGAGGAAGTGCTCAAGGAATTCGGGGGCAGCAGGGTCATGTCAAAGGGACCCAGGAGCAAGCTTGAAGGACTCCACTGACCACTCTGGGAGAATCTGAACAAAGTAAATGACAGTAACGGATTACAACTTATTGAATAAAACTGGAAACTATGAGTCCATGCCGACATACATAAATGAATAAATTGACAGTCTGACAAGGAATGAGATATTTAGAAAGCTATACAACACCTTAGCCAGCCCTGGTGGTCTAGTGGTTAAGATTCAGCACTCTCACTGGGTTTGTTTCCCAGTCAGGGAACGACACCATCTGTCTGTCTGTGTCACACTGTGGCAGCTGCGTGTGCTATGACGCTGAAAGCTCTGCCACTGGTATTTCAAATACCAGCAGGGTCACCCATGGTGGACAGATTTCCGCAGAGCTTCCAGACTAAGGCAGACTAGGAAGAAGGACCTGGCCACACACTTCCAAAAAAATCGGCCATGAAAACCCTGTGAATAGCAGTGGAGCATTGCCTGATAGGGCGCCGGAAGGTGAGAGGATGGCGCAGAAAGACCGGGCAGGGTTCTGCCCAGCTGCCCACAGAGTGGCCAGGAGTCGAAATCTGCTGGATGGCACTAACAACAACAAAGCACCTCCCCACAAAACACTTCATACAAAAGGAGAAACAGCAACCGCGTGGTGAAGAGGCCGGGCAGATGCACCTTAATCAAGTGATCAGAAGGAATACCATGAGCAATGGGGTGAACGGGAAGTGTGCCACCCGACAGGTTACGTCTATGATACTCCCGCCAAGACACATACCCTGAATCTGATCACAAGAAAACAACGGACAGACCCAAACTGAAGCACCTTCAACAAAACAACTGGTTTGTAACCTTCAAAAGTGTTAGGTCAGGAAAAGTCACGGAGAGACAGACTGTTCCAGATTGAACGGATTAAAGAGACACAACCACTAAATACACTGTGAGTCTGAACTGGATCCTTTTTAGCTATAAAGGACATTATTGGAACAACTGGGAAAAATCGAATGGGGTGTGAGGACTGGCTGGTACTAACGTCTCAGTGTGAATATCCTGACTGTTACACAGGAGAATATCCTTGTTTGTAGGAAATACACACTAAAGTATTTAGGAATGATGGGTCATTTGGGTTGGCAACTTAATCTCAAATGGCTCAGGAAAAAATGAGTTCTTTGTATCGTGCTTGTGGTTTTTCTGTAAGTTTGAGATTGTTTCAAAATAAAAAGAATTAAAACAAAACAAAACATAAATCTTACCCTTCACCCTCCAATTCTTCTGAGGCAATGGGAAGGACCTAAGACCAAAAAAGTAGATTGCTTTTCAACTATATGCTCAAAATATTTTGGACCACAAATGAGTTATTCCTAAAATGAAAATAATTTTGAATTTGACCCATCTAACACAAAATCCTCTACCCTTATTTTTCTTTTTTTTTTTTCCCTAATTTTATTTATTTATTTATTTTTCCCCCAAAGCCCCAGTACATAGTTGTATGTCATAGTTGCACATCCTTCTAGTTGCTGTACATGGGATGCGGCCTCAGCGTGGCCGGAGAAGCGGCACGTTGGTGTGTGCCCGGGATCCGAACCCGGGCTGCCAGTAGCAGAGCACGCGCACTTAACCACTAAGCCACGGGGCCGGCCCTACCCTTATTTTTCAATAACTAGATTCTTAGAGATATCTTGAACTCCTCTAAATCAGGGGTTGGCAAACTATGGCTGGTGGGCCAAGTCTGGCCCAATGCCTGTTATATAAAGTATTTACTGGCAGATAGCCACACTGATTCATTGGTATATTGTGTATGGCTGTTTTGGCCCTACAACGGCACAGCTGAGCAGTCACAACACAGACCACATGACCCAAAAAGCCTAAAATATTTACTATTTGACCCTTTACAGAAAAAGTTTGCCGACTCCTGCTCACTCCAAAGCTTCTCATTAGAATCTGAATACACTGGCAATGGCTCCCCACAAGAACTCTGAAAATCATTAGTCTGTAACAAATCTGTCTATGAAGTCCATGGCAGACCACCTTTTTGATATTTATTTGAGCTCAGCATGGAAAGCATGCTCTGCTCTATTCAGGTTTCTATCTCTACTATGCATTTGCTCAAAGCAGGACGTGACTATTTGTTAAACTTCGCATCAATTGTCAAGACATAGCTATACATGTGCCAATGATGATTCAGTAACTGAAACCATGAAAAGAGCCTTCAAATGTTCTTCATGCCATTAAGGCTACCCACCCTAGGTATTCCTCTGGCTTTTCCCCCCTGCCCAGACCCATATAAGTTAAATCCGCATGATTATAGTCTCAAACTCCAAATTATGTTACTATTCTAGCATCTTTTAAATGAGCTAAGATATAAATAAATAAATACAAACAGAATTAAGTTGACAGGTTTGCTACCGCGTTTCCAAATCAATAATGCTTAAACACACTTTACTCAAGGACATCATGTCACCCCAACTGAATATTCCAGGGAGCTGACCCGTAACACTGGTCACACCTCCCGAAATGTTGGCTTCTGTTTACCATGAACAATGCCAAGACTTCTTTGGGTGGAGTCTTACTTCCCTGCAGCCACCATGGGATCCTGGTTACCTACGTGAGCTCCCCGCTGAAGGCTGGCAAAGTGCACATCAGGAATGAAGAGGACAGGCTGGGTGTCAAGATCAATCAAGGGCCTGAACACCGTGATATCCATTCGTTTGTGAGAGGGAAGCAGTGGCACTTTCACATCAGAAACTGAGGGAAAAAACAGGACACCACAGTCAATGCTTATACACACAGACTAGACGCAGGCCACAGGGCGTTGTCTTCAATGTTTAAGAAACTTAAACTGTAGCACTATATAAGATACAGGTCATGTTGCCTGAACTAAGAGGAAAATCAGCTTACATGAAGGAATATGTTGTTTGTATTTATACTAAAATCAACTGAACATCTTATCAAAATCAGAAGAGAAAAATGTATCCTTACACACACACAGACATACACACACAGAAGATCTGGAACAGAGACAAAGCATGTTTAGTTTCTGTCTGAAAGGCTAAAACTTAAAACTATATAAACATAATTTGCAAGTAATTCCACCTTAGGAACCCTCATGAAGTAATGTACATTCTAGCAGCAGTGCGGTCTTCCACTTCAGAACATACACCCTTACTTTACACTTTCAACTTCAGAACTTAACCTCAGTGAGGTCAGATGAGCACGCCCATCTCAAAAATGTTTAGTCTACTGAATTATGGACGCCATCCTCGCCTGTCACCTGGCCCTGCAGTACCCGGTGAGGAGCTTTCCCGGTCAGTTAGCTGCTCTCTGAAGTGACACTGGGCTGCACTCTGACGCCAGCAGAACCCTGACAAATGTGCTGCAGGGCAAACGTCTGCTGAGCCAGACAAACAGTGCAAAGAACAGAGGCGAGCAGCCCACGTACTGCAGATGAAACCCTACTGGCACAGAGCAGCGTTTTTCTTCCTTCTAGCTGTGAGATACAGGATTTTGTGAATATGAATATTGGTCACATTAGAAAAAAAGAAAATGACAAAAGTTTTCCCTGGTGAAATGTCCAAACAGAAGCCCTACAGATTCTGCAAATGTTAGAAAACTATACATAAGAAAACTACGCTCATCTGGAAGTAAGACATCCTGAAATCTCAAGGGTGTTGTTATTCTTAAAAATCGAGACATGTCCCAATTATCATCAGCTATTCTGGTGGAATGTGTGTTATTTTTCAGGACTGGAACCAGCATCCTGAACTAGAACTAACAGCCAAAATAGCCTGAACTCTGGAAAACACTCAAGAATCCTTCCTGTAGTTCTCCAAGAAATTTACTTAGTTTGGCCGCTCATCCGTTTTTCTATCTGGTAAAGGAAGCAACGCTACCACTTCAGAGTCGTAAAAGATATCCACTATCATATCTGCTGCTTGAACATCAAGTCACCACTCTGGATGGAAAGGTGTGAAGTGCTCGGTGGACACATTTCTACTTACAGGCGTTCAGCTGGGAGCTGGGGTCAGTACACTTGCCTTTTCTTTTGCTTTGTTTTCGTTCTTCATCTCTGATTTTCCGCTCAGCTCCCTATAGGTCAAGAGAAGACAAGACAGGATTCTGTTTATCTGAGCCTCTTTAAAATATTTAACTGTTATCCTGACCAATGAGGGGAAAAAATTCTCCTCTCTGGAGAAGAACTCCATCATTTATTATATTCACAGAGTTTATCATAGTAGTTTCCTCTAAAAAGCCATTCTGATAACTATTTTTAACTATATGAAATCACAGGGAAACAATATATAAAAAACAAACAGAGAAAAATTCCCCTCAATAATGGATGTGGCCATGTTAAATGAAAAGCTGAGAAAATCTGCTAATGTACCACACTGCCTTCAAAGACATGAGTGACTTCCTGTTGTCTAGTAATAAGCAAATGAAAGAAAAAACACAAGATGACCCTGCTTTGAGTGTACTTTCCTATATGGGCATTGTTATCATCAGAAGCTGTGATTCTGTCCAAGGACTAGGCTCCAACCAAGTGACAGATATGTTCAACTATAACTCACAAAAGCAAAGATTTAACTAGAAATCTGCATAATCACTTAAAAGAGATGAAGTGTATTCCCAGTCCTATAAAGAAGAAATATATGTACGATATACATCAACTATACAAAGACTGTCAGTGCCACACAACTGAACCCACAAAAATAAAAAAGAACCATATTAGTAATAAACATAACCTAAAATTAAGCAAATAAGTATAATAAAAACATAACTATTAATTAATCACTTTGCTTAACCTACTGACATTTATTTCTGGATAGCACAGATTTCTTTACAAAGTTATCCAGTTAAGTATGAACTGGTAGCTTATTTTTCTGAAAATAAATTCCCCGATAGCAAACAGGCAATAAAAATCATCCCACTGATCTTGGCACTATTATACAATAAAACCACATTTTAAAAAACAGAATACAAAACCACCTTCTGCCTCTTCTAGAAGGTGTTAACATACTAATATATCGGTAAACATACAACCTGCTTATAAAATCTGCTTTGTAATATTGACACAAACATCACCTTCCTGACACAGAAAAACAGGTACATATCCCCAATCTCCCACCCGTTACTGTATAGAGTTGGTCTGTATCTGTCTTAGTTCCTTCTAACAGTCTAACAATAACTTCATTTTAATGATAAACTATAGTCCCCAAAAGGTAGTTTTATAAAACAGGACATTCCCCTCCTTATTTATCAGTTACATTCATAAAGAATAAGGGACTTCTGCCTCCACTCAAGATGGAGTAACACAGACCAGATTTACCCTCCACCTGAAACAATTGAAAAAAAAAAAAAAAAACCATTAAGTAAGGATTTTTAAGGCTCTGGCCACCTAGACAACCAAGAAGCAATCCCTGAGAGGCAGAAACCCAGCGCAGTGAGCCTCCAGGTGCTGCCTGCCTCCAAAGCCTCCAGGCTGTGGCACAGGAGGGATGTCCGGTGGTCTCCTTGAGCCAGGTTCCTGGGGTGAGAAGACAGAGTCGAAAGTCCAGAGAGATCAAGGCAGCAGGCTAAGGCAGCAAAGGGGGAAGAGAGTTAAAAGAGAAAGACCCCCAGAGACTTTCAGGGGGTCCTCTCAAGTATTCACAGAGTACTGAGAGGTACGTGGTGTGAGGAAGTGACCCAAGATTGGGGGAAAACCCTCAGAAAAGACTAGCGAACAGTGCCTGAAACTCACACAGGGAGAGCAGTGCCTGGCCACCAATCAGACTGGAAAAACTTATAAGTCACAGGGCAGTGGGCAGGACAGTCAGGAAAACCTCACCTCAGTAGTGGAGAACAACTAGCCTGGCACTGAGCACTGCTCCAGACCCACCTATCAAACCATAAAAGTAAGACCCAAAGGATCAAACTATTTCTGAGTCACTTCACTAGATCTCAGGACAAAGCTTGAGGAGACTCACAGGATTACAAATATATCCAGCACCCAACAAGGTAAAGCTCACAATGTCTGATATCCAATAAGACTGCCAGGCATGAAGAGAAGCAGAAAAACACGACTGTACAAGGAGGCTATCAAATCACAGAAACAACCCAGAACTGACACAGAAGCCAGATGAGGACATTAACACGGTTATTATAACTGCGGACCATATGTTCTAAAAGATAGTGAAAAAAACTGAACATGTTAAGTAGAGGCATGAAAGATATAAAACAGATCCAAATTGATCTTCTAGAGATGAAAACTACAATGTCTGAGATGAAAAATACACTGGATAGGATTAATAGCAATTTAGACAAGGCAAAAGACAAGACTGGTGAACATCAGGACATAACAATAGACACTATCCAAAATGAAACCCAGAGAGCGTAAGTAATCCAAAAAAGTAAAAAGAGCATCAGTGAGCTGTGGGACAACTTTAAGCAGCCAAATATATGTGTAATTGGCATCCCCAAAGGAGGAGGAAGGAGAAAACGTATTCGAAGAAATAATGGCTGAAAATTTTTCAAATATGATGAAAACTATAAACCCACAGGCCCAAGAAGTTCAATAAACTCTAAGAACAAGAAACATAAAGAGATACATCAAATTGTTCAAAACCAGTAAAAAGAGAAAATCTTAGAAAAAGTCATAGAAAAAAAGACATGTTAAATACAGAAGAACAAAGATAATGATGACACTGGATTTCTCATCAGAAACAACATAAGCCAGAAGACCGTACAGACACATCTCTCAAGTACAGAAGGAAACAGTCAACTATAATTTTATACCCAACAAAAAGATCTTTCAAAATTGAAGGTGAAATAAAGACATACAAAAGCTGACAGAATTCACAACCAGAAGACACACACTCCAAGAAATGTTAAAGGAAGTGCTATGACATTGTGGAGAACCCTTTAAATTCAGGCTGTTTTGATTCTTTCTTTCTCTCAATCAACAACTAATGAGATTGATGTTGGGGAATCACACCAGGCCATGGCCCAGAAGTCAACCCCTAACATCTGCTCCCAGAGATAGCTACAATGAATATTTACTCTGATGAAGAAGAAAGTTATCTTCAGGAAATAAGTGTCACTGAAATTTTTCTCTATCAGGACGGACCAGAGATATACACAAGATCACAGAAAGAGGGGCTGCCAAATTTCCATCGGTTAGTGATCCAATATCTGTTTCCATTTTCTCTGAAAACATGCTAAACTGCTGCTGCTTCTGAAATGAAAGAAAATTCCATTTAACAAACTAGTTAAGCAATTCATAGTAAAGTACCGTACGACTTTCTCTTATGAAAGAAAAACAACATAAAACCGATACCAAAAGATGTCTTATTTGTAGTTTCTTATGGCAAATGTAGACCAGATTCATAAAATGTGAGAGTTTTAAAGAGCCAGCAGAGGGAAATTAACCGACAGGCACCAAATAAGAGGGGGGGTCAGGTCTCAGAAAGGAGAGAATCAAGGAGGCAGATGGGATATTCCACAGAGAAGAGGCAGCACAGGGTGAACCTAGAACAGAAGCAGCGATCACAACCCTAAGGGACAAGAGTGGTTACAACCAGAAGCACAAGAATCAGGAGTGGGTGTGAGGTCACAGGGGGTTCCTAGTGGTTGAAAGACTCAAGGACTTTAAAACTTAATTACACACAGCACATAACCTGTTTTCTTCTCATGCAGGATTTTATACCAACCCACAACAGCTCTGAGATTAAAAACCGGGGATGAAATTATAGTGTATAATTTCATCTCCTATGTCCTTTGCTATCATATGACGCTCATTACCACTCCTATATCCATAAGGGCTGAAACTGGGGGAGGAGACCAACAACTTTCATCCCCATGTAGGTCTCTACTCCAGCAAACAGAGAAAGACAGATAAGGAATATTTTCAGGGGCCTTACAAAGAAAGCCATACCCCTGAAGGCTGAGGGTATTTGGGCATCCAACAGGCCACAGAAAGCACCACTAGATGCAGACGCCTAGTTTCTAACCACTGCTTTGTGTGATTTTCTTTGACCACCATACGGAACTTACACCCATGTAATGAAAAAACAGTGACTGACTCTGGCCTGCACAGCTGACATGCTATCCAAGAGCATAGATGATATGTTCCCATTACCTGTGATCTAAGTGCACAAGTGCATAGGCAAGCAGTTACACCAGAGGATGGAATCCTCTGTTGTCCCAAACCACACCCAATTTGCAACTTTGAAGAAAAGGAATTCTGCTTCACAGACTACATTAGCATGCACTCGCATAGCAAAGAGAACTGGTTTCTAAAATTTGTACAACCACTGATTAATAAAATAACTGCACAATTCTTGAAACCTTTCCTGTGTTTCATTTTCTAAATCAGCTACAAATATAGGAGCCTCCCTCGAAAGTCCTGGTATTGAAACCGTATTCGTTTAAGAGCATGAATCAACACTGTTCCTTCACCTCAAAACTGCTTGTACAGTTTTTCCATCTGATATGGAAATTCCAGTTCATGCTAACTCATGCTGACATCCTCTAATACAGCAATATTCAAAGTGTGATCCGTGGACCAGTATCAGTCCACGAACTGGCCAAGGAAATATACATCAGGAATTGAGGAAGCATTTGGAAAGCAATTAATAAAATAAAATTACGTCTGTTGAATCAAATAATAAAAAACTGGGGCTTGTAGTTTGTATGACTTTGTTTTATGTTTCATTTCATTTTTCTAGCAATTCGTTTGAATTTTTATTGTATTTTATGGAAGTAGAAGTTCATGACAGATTACAAATAAAAAACATAGTTCCCTCACCATAGATAATCTGAGACACCGCTCTAAGAGATGACAGTACTCAACACCAAGGAAAGGCCTGGATGCAGGAACCGCCCCACTGGTGCCCTTCGACAGCGCTGCTTCAGAGGCAGGCTCTCACAGCTGGCCTGAGGATGGCATTAGAGTAAGCCTCTACTCTGCTTACAACTTGAGGTGAGCAAAGGTCTTGTGAAAAATAAACATCTTCATAGCATTCAAAAAATGAACTTATTTATAAATTCTAAATAATGTCAAGGAAAATTATTAAATAGACATGGAATTTTTTAGAAACAGCAGATGTGAAAAAAAATTTTTAAGTTGAACCGATAAAACCATAATTTCTCCCTAGATTTTTAGAAAGAGAACATGGACATCCCAATAGATTTTCTTTAGGTTTTCCTTTGGCTAAAAAGAGGAAAGTGGTATGAAGGAAACAAATTTCACTCAGGGTCACAAACCCTTGCTCCACACTAGATGTGACTCATCATTTGTAAAAATGCAGCATATGTGAAAGCACTGTGGTGGGCAGACTAACGGCCCCCCAAAGACGTCCACGTCCTAATCCCCAGAACCTATGAATATGTCAGCCTACACAGCAAAGGAGAATGAAGGTTGCTAAGCAGCTGACTTGAAGACAAGGAGAGTGTCCTAGATCATCCACGTGGCCCGATAGAATCACAAGGGTCCCTAAAAGCAGAAGAGCCAGAGGAAGAGATGTGACAATGGAAGCAGCATCAGGGTGATGCAGTGGGAGATTCCTGGCTTTGAAGAGGGAAGGGGCCACGAGCCAAGGAACGCAGGCGGCCTCCAGAAGGTAGAAATGGAAGGAAAGGGATTCTTCTCCTCTACAGCCTCCAGAAAGGACGCAGCCTTCCAACACCTCGACTTTAGCCCCGTGAGACCTGTGTCAGACTTCCGACCTACAGAACCGTAAGATAATAAATGTGTGTTGTTTTGAGCCGCTAAGTTTGTGGTAATTTGTCAACAGCAACAACAGAAAACTAACACGACCTGGCACATCCTCAGGCACAAGGTGGGTACAGCAAACGTGACGGGATAGGGTGTGTGAGAGAGCTCTCTGAACTGGGAGGGTCTCAGGCTCATCCACTGGGACCAGATGCTGTGCTCCGTGTACCTAGTGCAAAAGTTAGGACACCAGGCCTCTGATAGCAAATACACCTCCAGTTCTCTAGTACCTTCTAAAAATCTTAATAACAGAGAGGATTTTTAACAGGATGAGAAGAGGAAACTGGCAAAAAATATAGTCCAATATTTTTGAGTGGAAAAAGTCAAAGTCTCCTTCAATCGTCGTTCAATGGACTACTCACTCATCTACAGCTACTGCCCAGTTCTCAAGGATACCACTGTCTCCAATCCTTAAGACACAGTGGGCCTAGGAGCTTCCCCCGAATGTAATCCAGCTGAGCCCCTGGCACTACACTTGGCACAGGTGATCCTCTCTTCTTTCTTCAGAGAAAAGAAATGATGCTGAAACCACTCGGGCCTACACATTCTCTTCCTGCCTACCTGCTGCTGTAGAGAAGAATCTGGATCTCACCTCCCGCCTTAGTGAGCTGGCTGATGACTTACCAAAGGGCCTGGAGGGAGGTGATCCCGTTAAAGGGCAGCCCTTTATGATTCACCCACATGGAGTCCTCAGACACAAAGCTCAAGAGGAGCTCCAACCCCTCGGCCACTGCCTACAAACCCCACTAAGCTGAGGGGCCGCCAAGGACTGGGTGCAACCCACTGTATAATGTGTCTTTCCATGGCTAAAATAATAATTGCTAATTTAAAATAAACTATTTCATATTACCAGCAATACATTCATATTGAATTTAAATATTAAAAAGACCCTGGTCTTTTCCAGGAAGAGTATATCTCACACGCTGTATTCTAAGTGTCCCTACCCAACCCGACAAGCTTACCTTGTCACAGAAGACTTTTATCTGGCAGTACGCCCGATGCACAGGCTTGTTGCTACGGTTGTTGTAACTATAGGTGTCAATTTGAATATTCAGAGGCAACCCCTTCACACCCTTCTGAGAAGAGAAATCGGTGCTTAAGCAGTTCACAGAGATGAAAACCTGCAAAGGGAAGAAAAGGTTCTATAAGCAACAGGCAGCGATGAACCCCAGCACAGCTCGTAAAAACACTAACATTGAAATTACTCAAATAGATTCTAAATGAGAGCTCAGCTGCTCATTTAAAAGAAAATTTTTAAAAAGAGGTAATAAAGAGTTTATTTTAAAACTACTTTTGATCATAGGAATGGCAGACTTTAAAGGGAAAAAATAGACAGCCACTTTGAACCCTGACAATTTTCCCTTCCAGATTACTTATTCAATATCATAAGCAGAAGAGTCTGGGTGTCTTTCTTGATGTCATTTTCAAATGTTATCGGTAGCACAGGTTCTCTCTGCAGCTGTTTTATAGTTTAGGACAAACTGTCTGGGGACCTGCCTGTCTTGACGTCTGTACCACCTCTCAGGATAACCTGCTATCCCCACGTCCTGAGATTCGGGCATTGGTGAAATCAGTGAGTCCCATTGTTAAAGTGGTGCTGGAGGTTACCACCTAGAGAAACCCAGGCGAACCTCTGTGCAGCAAGTGAACACGCTCCATTTTCCCCCTATTTTTGTGACTCTGGAATTTAACCTCTCCATACATGGTCACAACGTTTTTGAGCTCCCTTTTAACTACTCAGTTTTAGAATTTATTTCTGATACGCGAGCACCACATAGTGGATATTATCGGAATTACAGTTTTTAAAACAAGTTGGCACATTTCAACTTTTTGGGTCCTTGGGTTCCCAGGACCCAAGACCCTTACGCTGGACTCCTTCCAGTTCATGGGTCAACAACGCCCTAGCCCTAACAACCAAGAATATATCTACTGCAAGTTGTGTGGGTGCCACTGGCTGAACCAAGACCCAGAAAGGGATAAGCGTAAGTCATAAAAGAGGGGAAAACCTATAAGAACGTAAGATGAAAGAGAAGAAAGGGAGTGGGAAGAGAGGGTAAGAAAGAAAATTCCAACCACAGCGACAAAGAATGCTCTCTAGAAGGTATACAAAATGCTGAAACGGGGTTTATTCTTGCTCTAGTCTATATGCTGTTTCTAAGTAGGAAAAGACCAAAACATCAAAACAAGATTGGGAACGTGTCCAAATTAACAGATTTAAAAGTTGTCTCTCCTCTTGTCCCCTCACTAGCTCTCCACTTGCCATCCCTAGAACACACTTCCACTGTTCGCTCCTGCCTCCCCTCTCTGTCCTTGTCATTCTTCCTCCTCCTGTTTTCCGCTTGTCCCAGTCCGTGTCACCTCCACAGTTCCTCTCTGCCTCTCTGAATCTGAGGCAGCTCAAGTCCCGCCTCCCTAGAGTGTTCCCACTCACCCAGACTTGTGTCTCGGAGCCCACAGCAGCAAGCACCTACTGTTTCAGGACCTGTGCTGGCCACTGACTTTATCCACAGGATCCTGCTCATCATCACCACAACCTTGAGACAGTCTCATCCTTCTTTTACAGGTGAGGTCCAGAGAGACTGTTTAAACTGTCCTCAAGGCAGAAAGCAAAGGACTGGGATTCATATCCAGTGCTTTCTCCTTTACACCTGCTACCTCTTTCCCAAATCAACTCTATCCTAGATGAATCACCCGGCTTTTCTTTACTACCTGGAATGGTCTGCCATTTTTTTTTTTCCTGTGAGGAAGATTACCCTGAGCTAACACCTGTTGCCAATCTTCCTCTTTTTTGCTGAGGAAGATTAGCCCTGGGCTAACATCTGTGCCCATCTTCCTCTACTTTACATGTGGGATGCCTGCCACAGCGTGGCTTGATAAGTGGTGCATAGGTCCACGCCCAGGATCCAAACCTGCAAACCCCGGGCCACTGAAGTGGAGTGTGTAAACTTAACCACTACACCACCGGGTCAGCCCCATATTTTTAAAAAACACTTCAGGGCCGGCCCCTTGGCTTAGTGGTTAAAAGTGCACGCGCTCCGCTACTGGCGACCCGGGTTCGGATCCCGGGCGCGCACCAACGCACTGCTTCTCCGGCCATGCTGAGGCCGCGTCCCACACACAGCAACTAGAAGGATGTGCAGCTATGACATACAACTATCTACTGGGGCTTGGGGGTAAAAAAAAAAGAGGAGGATTGACAATAGATGTTAGCTCAGAGCCGGTCTTCCTCAGCAAAAAGAGGAGGATTAGCATGAATGTTAGCTCAGGGCTGATCTTTCTCACAAAAAAACAAAAAAAAAACTACTTCATATACAATCCATAAACCTGAGTTAAGGAGATAGTTGATGCAACAGACAAAAGACAGAGAGAAAGACAAGTAGTCCATGCACACAATCGAGCACATAAAGTAACCAAACCACCAGATTTTTCATTGTACAAGCAAATGGAAAATCTAAACTATTCCCTCTCATTCTAGGCCACATGGCTCAATTCCTAACTCAAAAACAGCTGCCTGGGAAAGTAACACTTTACCCTCAACAATTCCAGGAAGTCTCTGACCCAAAGTGATATTCCCTTTACAACAGGATTTCATGGTAATCCAACCTAAAACCTAACCTCCCCCTGCTTCCCAGTGTCAAATTTCTATTCAAAGCAGAAATAAGCAGGAGCCAGATCCCAGATCAGTGTAAACACGGAGCCTTCGGGAGACACGACCCGCATGATCACTTGCAATCGCTTTCTTATACACATTTGTCTCTGAGTTTTTAAATCAGTTCTTACTAAACCTGGCAGTTTCCTAAATGTACCACAGAAAGTACACAGCATTCCTAACTCAGTGTTAAAAAATGCTCCCTTGTCTAGATAAATACACAAACACCAGTAAAAGTGAACAAGGTGTGCAACATAAGCATGCTGGGCCCCGGACACAGGGAACAAGGACAGAGCGCTGAAGACCTGCGAGAGAAAAACACGGGTGGTGCTTATGACGCCTGCTGCAGCAGGGTCCCAGGAAAGAACACGCTGGCACCGAAGGGGACAAACTCGCTGTGTTTAAGCCTCAACCAAAGGCTGGCAAGGGGGCAAGATGTCTGATGTTATGTGCCAGCAGGAGGTAACATGGGCAACAGGAAAGGCTCTGGCCTGCAAATCAACACGTCTCAGTTTCACTCATTAGTGTTGCGCCCCCGGGCAAGGCTGGGCATCTGTCAGATGCAGGGCAGAACCAGATCATCTCTAGATGACTTCTTTTTTTTTGTGAGGAAGATCAGCCCTGAGCTAACATCCATGCCAATCCTCCCCTTTTTGCTGAGGAAGACTGGCCCTGGGCTAACATCCATGCCCATCTTCCTCCACTTTATGTGGGACACCACCTCAGCATGGCCTGACAAGAGGTGCATCGGTGCGCGCCTGGGATCCGAACCCGGGCCGCCAGCAGCGAAGCGCGCGCACTTAACTGCTCCGCCACGGGGCCGGCCCCTCTAGATGACTTCTAACTCGAGAGTCCTATGATTATATTTACACTGAAAGATGATGACATGATGACGGCTATGTCCCTACTCGGCATTTACTAGTAACAATAATTTTGTGTGATATATTTATCAACCAACTTTTTACGAATCATATTATTTTAAAAGTATCATGTAAGGTTGCCATTTAAAGTAGTCATACTAACGGCCCTCACAATGTGGCACCAGGAGCTTCAGCACTGCCTGGGAACTGCGTGTCTCACACGCCTGACTCAACTGGAATTACCTGGCGGGCGTCAGCCTTCCTAGAGGCAGCTGGGCCATGCTGAGAGGCTCTCGCTCTCCCTGGCCTCGGTGGGGCCAGACACTAGGACTTTTTTTAGGTGCTCCCCAGGTAATTTCAGTGATCAGCCAGGATAAAAACCACCGCTGTCAAGTGATTAATCTTCCATAAACTTACACACTTTGATCCACAAAAGGTCTCCTTTGGCTCCAAAACTCTGAGGTTATTAAAACAAGCCCTAACATATGGTTTCCTTTCTTTAAAGAGTTCAGATATTCTTACATGTATTTCTACGTATCCCATCAGATTTTTTTTTTTTTTTGCTAGGGAAGATTGGCCCTGAGCTAACATCTGTGCCCATCTTCCTCTACTTTATATGGAACGCCGCCACAGCATGGCTTGACGAGCAGTGCGTTGGTCTGCGCCCAGGATCCGAACCTGCAATCCGCGGGCCGCCGAAGTAGAGTGTGCAAACTTAACCACTATGCCACTGGGCCAGCCCCCCATCAGATTTTTTTATTCAAACACTTTTTACAGAGGTACAGCCCTAACAAGTAAGAAGAATATTCATTTAATCAATGGAAAAATAAAGATTAAAGCATCTGGGGGCCGGCCCGGTGGCGCGAGTGGTTAAGTGCGCGCGCACCCGCTCCGCTGCAGCGGCCCGGGGTTCGCTGGTTCAGATCGGGGCGCACACCAACACACTGCTTGGCAAGCCATGCTATGGTGGCGTCCCATATAAAGTGGAGGAAGATGGGCACGGATGTTAGCCCAGGGCCAGTCTTCCTCAGCAAAAAAAGAGGAGGATTGGCAGATGTCAGCACAGGGCTGATCTCCTCACACACACACAAAAAAGATTAAAGCATCTGCTCAATCTTGCTATTCAATAAGGTCTTGTAAATCCTCAAGAACTCATAGTTTATAAGGCAGCGACCAGAAAAAAACCTACTAAAGACCTATCAAACTCTACTTCTCATGTTTACTCCTCACATGATGTGTGATATACACAGGGGTCAACGTCTGTGGATGAATTGTGTGTTCAGATGAAGGTGTGGGCATCTCTCTGAACTACAGTGCAAGGCTCATCTGGGGTGTCATCTGCACGGAGCTGCAAGCTCCTGAGGACAGAGACAACACTCAACCAGCCCATTCTGTCCCTGCTGCCTGGTACACAGCACACACTTAACTCATATGTTTTTACCAAAGAGGGAACATGCAGAGGGAGCAGTGAATAAAAATGGTTCAGAGGAAACACAACATAGATACACAAAATAGCTCTCATGTATTTATCTAAACCAGGAGTCGGCTAACTTTTTCTGTAAAGGGGCCCGATAGTGTTTTAGCCTTTGTGGGCCACTTGCAAGTACTCAAC